AGAGTGAGAGCATATATGAGAGCCGAAGAGCACATAATTTTTTCTCTAAAACATAGTTTAGAGGTTGAGATTAGGGGTAAGAGTATAAGAGAGAGAGAGAGAGAGAGAATTTCAAAAATGAAGCAAATAAATGCATAGATAATAAATTAAGATTAGAAATCAAAGGTATCAATAAAATGAAAGTCAATTGAGAAATGAAATAAAATGTGTATAAAAAGGGGTGGTTTTCATACGTGATTGTTGTGATAGGTTTCGCACATGTATTGCATGAGATTCATCTGCGATCTCTGTTGGAACTCTTGAGTATGGGTTCCGTCGACAATAATCCAGGGAATGAAGTGGTGTTGAGGCGATAAATTGAATGTCCGGTGCGAATGAGCCACTAATAATCGGTCTCCATGTGAGCCATCGATGCAATCCTTGATTTGAGTCCAATTCATAGACAGAGTTTCGGCGCACTTGTGGTTTAGGAGGAGAAGGAAAATGCATTTTTAGTCTTTGAATTATAGCCGTCATAAGTATATCGTATTATTATATAAATATCGATATCATTATTATATCATAAGTCTGTTCCCAAATTCTATAGCATTGAATACCAATACAATTAGATTTAGTATTTTCTCATTGAATCGAAAATTTCTTTCATTTTTCTCTCAAGACATTGACCCGAATAATGAAAACCTTTTTTCATCTAAATTACCCCCACATATGAGACGATTATTAATACATATCATATGAATATGATATATATTTTTCACGTAAACACTAAAACACTGTATAATTAAATAAAGACTTTGACACAAATACTACGTTAACGTATTGGTAACGCGTTTAGGGCACGAGAATTAGCATTAATTTAGTGTCGAGAGCACCAAAAAATGCTACTTTAAAAATAAGTTTTTTATGAATAAAATCAAACTATCATTAATATAAATTAGACACAAAATGCAGTCTTATTTCGTATGCCTTATAACACCGGCCATTGAAATAAAGCCAATCATTAATTCACTAACTAATAGAATAATTGCTCTATAATTGACTCTTGGCTTCAAATTCAATCTAATAAGAGCTCCTCTTCTCTCCCAAACTCATGCCTCCTATCCTTCCCCTAAAGAAAGCACCGAAAAGTTGAGCCAAAACTTAATTTGTCAGTTAAGACATCGTTTAGAAAAATGAATTTTTTAATTACCCGAAGAGTTTAATTACATTTTACAGTAAATTCTTTTGAAAAAAATTCACTTCATTTGAACATTTGGTTACGGTTTTTGATATTTTGTTTTATTTTCGTTTTGATTCATAATTCTTGTTAACAATTTAATGAAGATTACGGCACAAAGAAATTACTATAAATGTCTAAAACAACAAAAAGTCTAACAACAGGTTTATTATAATCTATAACAACGTGTATAACGTGTTCATCACATTTCAGCGCAAGAAATTATCGGTGACATCCATTGGCACCAACAAAATGCACGGTATATACCGGTATCTCAGAGCACGGACTGCCAGACAATCTTATTAGACATGTTTTTTGAAAACCATAGAGAGAGAGAGAGAGAAGCGAAAGAATGAGTGGGAAGTTGTAAATGAGAGGATCGAAGGGCCAGTCATTGCTTTCTCTCTTATTATTAAAAAATTCATTTTTCTAAACGATGTCTTAACTGACAAATTAAGTTTTGGCTCAACTTTTCGGTGCTTTCTTTAGGGGAAGGATAGGAGGCATGAGTTTGGGAGAGAGAGAGAGAGAGAGAGAGAGAGAGCATTAAATAAAAGTTGTTTAGTCAACGTTTTGCTACTATTAAGTGTTTTGTAAATTATGAAACAGAAAAAAAATCAAAATTATATTTCGAGAATAAATGACTATAAAAAACATAACATAAGAGAGAAAGCAATGACTGGCCCTTCGATCCTCTCATTTACAACTTCCCACTCATTCTTTCGCTTCTCTTCGGTTAGACTTCATTGACTTCTCTCTAAGAGTGAGAGCATATATGAGAGCCGAAGAGCACATAATTTTTTCTCTAAAACATAGTTTAGAGGTTGAGATTAGGGGTAAGAGTATAAGAGGGGGAGAGGGAGAGGGATAGACGAGTGGATCGACTGAGTTTTTTTTTGCTTCTTTCGTTTCTCTTTGGCTGAACTCGAGTTTAGTGGCGAACGAAGGGGTCGTCGATGAAAGTCACTCACGATTTTTACGGTTAAAACAAAATTATAGTGTTTTTCTCTTCTCCTTTAAAAGGGATCTTCCCTTTAATAATAGAAAACAAAAACTTAAAGAATAACTACTTGTTTAACAAAACGGATAAAAATAATAAAAATTAGAAAATATTACCAGAAATCACTCTCTGTTTGATTCCAAACAGACATTATGTTATATTATATCATAATATGTTATTATTATATATACAATAATTTTGTGTATAAAAAATTAATTCATTTATAACTTCGAGTAATTTAAAGCTTACAATAATCAGAGAGTCAGAGCTTTGAGGTCTCAAAACATAAGAAGAGCTCAGAGGGAGAAACGAAAAGAGTAATTGCCGTCAAAATTGTGGTTTTTGTTGTTTTCTAATACTGTTTCCTATGATATTAGAGTATTATGCATGCAATCCCGCCCATTGAAACTTATGCAACCCATAGAAACCCATGTAAACGAAGAATGAGTGCTAACCCCCCGTGAATTTTCCTCTCCCTATTCGCGCACTGTTTGCCACATTCCAGAGCAGGAGTACTGGGTATAAAACCAGAGCCCAGTCCCCTGCACTGGCAATTAGATTAGTACAGCTCTACCATCAAAGTTACACTACAATAATCAGAGAGTCAGAGCTTTGAGGTCTCAAAACATAAGAAGAGCTCAGAGGGAGAAACGAAAAGAGTAATTGCCGTCAAAATTGTGGTTTTTGTTGTTTTCTAATACTGTTTCCTATGATATAAACCCAACAATTATATAATATAAATATAACGCAAAGTCAATGGACGGCTTCGCTGGAGATGTTATCATAAGTTATGAGTTATAGAAACGAAAGGATAGGAAACTAATAATAATATATTTATATAAATAATATAAAGTTAAGGCGAAATCAAATTGACTATTATTTAACATTTAGGGTGTATTGAGGTTTTGGAAACAAAAACAAAAGGTAAAAGAATTTAAAATTTTGGTCGAAATTCTCTGTGAAACTAATGTTGTATTTAAAGAAAAACTAATATAATATAATATATGGAATATTAAATAGTGTATAAAACATATAATTCAGTACACGATATATACGATAATGCTATTCATGGGGATTGACTTCATAGTAGATTATATACGGTAATACACTATACGGTATAAACAATATATACGTGAATATACTGTATATCGTGTGTATTTTAATGCACTTCTTCTGCAGATTCTGTTTTAAAAATTTTTATTTGATTTTAATTTACATTAAATTTATATTTACTTTTTTGTGTTTCCTATTCAGCATTGATTTATTAGGGCGTCTAATATATCGCATAGTATAGTGAGTAAACCAATGGCTAAATATTATATAAAATATTAATCAAATCTTCCTCTCCTCTCACTTCTCATCTTCGTATACATAACTAAAGACATCACTAAAACATAAAGTGACGATAAAATGCCATTTGATAAGAAAGAAATGTATTAAATATTAATATTAAACATAAAATATCAAAAGTGGCAAAAAACTGTTTTATCAAAAATATTTTCTGACAATTAAACGGAGAGAAAAAAACATTGAACTAATGAACTGAAAAAATTGCTTTTAAGTTATATATAATTTGGAGAGAAATAAGTTTTTCTCTGGCAATAACTCTCCGGTTATTTCAGCTATAAGTCAATTGAATGACGAGAATTGATGGCAAAAAAGGCATTTTTATACCACATTTGATTGTAATCTGTCTGAACAGTGGTGTAGAAAAAGGCCGAGTGTTTTCAAATAAGAGGGGTTTAAAACTTATAAAACCATATTATAGTATAGCTATTGACAGACAGACAACACGTTATATAATATACGGTGTAAAAAGTTAAGGAACTGTATTTTTTATTATCGCAATTCATGCCATAAAAAAGTGTATATAATTTTTGGTGTCGAAAAAATTAAGTTTCCTGAACTCTGGAGGCGAACAGAGAAATATTTTTTCGGCCCAAACTATAACTATAACACACTTCATAACCCAATATCGCTGTCTCTCGTCTACC